GAGGGAGACAAGGCACATGCTTTAAAAATTTAAAGTGAAACTACAGTAATACTGTTGGTAGAAGTAACAGTAGTACTACAAGTACTACATACAGCAGTAGGAGCTGTAGTAAAAGTACTGACAGCAGTAAACCAGCAGAGACACAGGAAGACTGTAGTTTGATCATCTGATTATTCCCATTAGAATATTTGGTGTTTATTTATTAGTCTGTGACTTTTAATAAAGTTCAGTTTAGTGTTGCAGAGAATCAGAGAATCAATCGATCAACGATCAGTTTGATCGACTGGAGGAGACACTGTACCTTATTCTCACCACACCTGTTCACCAGCTTCACTCTGATTCAACTCCATATAAAATCATGTTTGACTGGAGACAGACACACACACACACCCGCACGCACATATGCACACACACATATGCACACACACACGCACACATATGCGCACACACACGCACACATATGCGCACACCCGCACACGCACACACACACCCGCACGCACACACACACACACACACACACACACACACACACACACACACACACACACACACACACACACACACGCGCGCGCACACACACACACACACACACACACACACACACACACACACACACACACACACACACACAATCTGGCTCAGGTGTTTTTGTCGGACGTGCTCAAGTTACCAGGCAACCACACAGATTCAACAGGAGAGCAGGAGCACGAGGAGCAGGAGGAGATGGCGGGAATTTGGTTTGACTTTGGAGTTCAGTCCTTTGGATCCAGGAGGAGGGGTGGATGGTCTCTCAGGACGTTCCCCTGCAGAGGGAACCAGATCTGGTCAACACTTTGACCAACACAGCCCCAGAGCTGAACCCCTCCCTCTCTTCTTGGAGACAGGTGCAGCTGAGAGTGGGTTGTTTCTGGGAATGACCAGTGGAGTTCAGACTCTCCACGTTCAGATCAGTCCAGGACGTTTAAACTCTAAAGCATCAAAGACTTTAACGATGTAAATCTGAGACGAGACACAGAAATCTAATAAATACAGATCCAAAACATTTTAATCATCCTCCACGGCTGATTTTCATCCAACCTTTTCAAAGCAGTGAAGCAGCAGAGCTACAGACCTGAGACAGAGAGTCTGGTGTCCTGCTGGACGTTCAGTTGTGGTATGATGCAGGCGTAGTCGTTGCTGTCCTCCTCCTGGACGTCCTGCAGGACGATGGAGAAGTTCCCCTTCCTGTACAGACCGGGGAACGTGAGAACTCGACGTCTGAAGATCTGGCTCTGGGACGTGAAGTCCGGGACGCCGTGGACGACGTCTAGTATGACGTTTTCGTTTTTGTCTCGCCAGTGGACGGAGATTTTCTCCGGGACAGAGTTGTTATTGTTGTAGACGCAGGACAACAGGACGTCTTCTCCAACAGGAGTCTCCATGTGGACCTGGAAGTTCACTGTGACACCACACATGTTCCTGTTGGTCAAACACTCCAACATCAGAGAGTCACAGCTGCTGCGCTCCCGGTCGTTACAGAGAAGTAAAGTTAATTAAAGGTAGTGAGTCAGTCTCCTTCCTGCAGAACATTGCAGCAGCTCTCAACAAACTGATAAATACCTTCAGCTTCACTGTCTGAATCCAGAGACACCAGGATTACTGACATTTATAAAATGATAATGAATAAATGGCACAGACTGACTGACCTGATGGGATGTTGAAGATCCAGATCAGTGCAGCGCTGTGGAGAAACAACAGCATCATCAATCATCTCACTTCCTGTCTCCTCAGCTGCCCTAAAGCCTGGTCATATGACAGCGTGTGATTTATGACAACAGAATACAAAAGTGAAACATACGGGACTGTCCACATGGTCAGAACCTGGAGCTCCATCACCTTCTTCTTCTTCTTGATGCACAAAACGCTGCTCCTCTCGTTTCAGTCAGAATCTGAACTCCCAGACACAAACTGTGTAGTTCTGAGGCATCACTGAACAAACATGAAAACATGAAAGATGATAACATGAAACATGATAACTTGCCCAAACTGCAGCTGCTTCACACTGATAACAGACTGTGAGGCCTCCAGCTGCTGCTCAGACTCAACACTCCCTCCCCACCACCAGAGGAAGACACTGTGCTTTATACTGCAACTGCATCAGCTACAGTCTGACCACACACACACACACACACACACACACACACACACACACACA